GGGGGGGGGGGGGGGGGGGGGGGGGGGGGGGGGGGGTCATGCTTAGATAGATATGGAATATATATGGTGATTTATCTTCGTAGGGTCAAGTTGACAGTTTTTCATTAATAAAACAACCTAAGATAAATTTTTTGTTCTCACAACTTATAATTTATGTTAAAGTATGTCTAATTTTTTGTCTATAAACTTAATGTCAGCTAATCCAAGTCATATTTAAACTCATTTGGTCCTGGAAAATTAGGGATATACCTTTAAGCTCTATAAATGTACAGTTTGAAATCTTTTCATTGTAAAAGGAAATTCAGATGCAGAAAACCACACAGAGCATAATTATTATAAAAGGTGACCACCTTTAAAAGTCTCAGTCTGTTCTTAAATATTATAAGGTGAACACCTGTAAAAGTCTCATCCTAAGACTTAAATTTTCTTGGCTGAGCCAAACTTTGTATTTTGCTATTCCATTTCTAAGCACCTGTGTTGTGAATATAGTGAAACACTTTGTGGTAAAGGCATAATTCAAGCTTAAAGAACATTTATAGATGATTATATAATAAACTAAGTGGGTGTTAAAAGATTAAATTTCTGTATTAAAAATAGTACCTACTGATTTTCCTACCATGTGCCAGATACTGTTCTTACCATTCATACATGAACTATACATAGTAATTTAATTAATTCTCACAATGGTTGTGTAAGAAACTAAGCTAATTCCCAAACATAGTTACTGGGGTAGTGGTTCTTCATCTACTTTTAAAGCTTTCTCACTCTATCATCATAGATAATTCATAGTATTAGAAATAGGGTTCTCTGGAGTTAATGTTTTTCTGATTCCTATAACTTTAGACTATCAGTGTTAAAATTAAACAGTCTAAACCCTGTGTTTCACTTATACTACTTTTGTGAATGCATTGGTGATATACAGCGTACTTCAAAAAGTTCATGGAAAGGTTTGTATTATCTTTTTATTATTTTTCCACGAACTTTTTGAAGTACTGTTGTATGTACCATTAATTAAGTTGTAGAGCAGCAGTGTTCAATAGAAATATGTGGCCATACATATAATTCTAAAAATTTTAGTATCCTTAAAATTACAAAACAGATCACATTAATTTTAGTATTTTAAGTAGATAATTTAACTCATTATATTCAAGTATTATAACATGCACAATATAAAAATTATGGCACTCCTTTTTTTGGGAGGAGGAGTGACCAAGTCTTTGAAATCTGGTGTGTATTTTATACTTGTCTTGAGCACATTTCAGGACTAGCCACATTTCCAGTGCTCAGTATCTACATATAGCTAGTGTCTATGGTCCTGGAGCTTTTTCTATTATGAAACAGAATACCTCTTTTAAAAGTAATTTGGTAATCTGGTAGTTGAATCCATATGTCCATCCACGGGGAAGATACTGAAACCATCTGATTCTAGCATGCAGATGTAAAATCTTGGAACACTTCTCAAACTCAGTCCTGGAATGTGCCTTTCATTTAGTAAATAAAAAGATTGTTGGTGTTAGTTTGTTTCATCTTTCTGCATGTAACATTCAACTTTGAGGAGTAAATGATGTGAATATTACAGTATAAAAATTTTTTTTATTGTGTATACTTGTGATTTACAATGTGATATTACAGTATACTTTAAAAAAAAACAACTGTCTAAAGCAAGTCAATGTTTCATCTGTTGACCTGAGGATGAATATAACATAAAACACTTGAATATTCTTTGACTTTTGGAAAAATATTTATAATGGAAACAATTTGGATTTTATTTATAGAGCATATACTTATTTATATAGGGATCCGAACCCGTAACCTTGGTGTTATCAGCACCGCACGAGATCTCCCGAGTGAGCCTAGCGTATACTTATTTCGATTAAAAATAAACAGAAGTAATAGTGTGGAGAGAGGCCTCTTAAATTCCAACAGTTTTTAAATGTTTTAAATGTTATATCCAGGGCTATGTACTTAAATGCTGTGACATTCTACCCTTTACAGTACTCAGTACGAGCCAAGGTGGGCATACTGCATTTACTGCATGTAGGAAAACCTTGTTAAGCAGAGAAAATGTGAAAAGTAGGACTAATGGTTGCTTTAGTTTATATCCTAGTAGGACAGCGAGGAACTAATTTTACCTTGAATAAAATGCATTTAGCCTAACTATGATTTATTAGCATTTGAGAGTTCATAATTTCATTATAATTTATAGATTTTTAACTTAAGATTTCACAACGAACTTGACTCCCACATAGATGAACCATCATAATTAGTGATTCACGTTGACATTCCTGAGAACTTTGAATGAGTGTGATAATCAATGTAAAGGTTGATAAGATTCCTTTTATTTTATTATCTAGTGGCTGCACTTTTGAATGAATCTTATAAGCTCTTCAGGTTTGAAAATTAGTGGAAAGGTAATAATTGACATTGATTTATCATGTTTTTATGAAAAAAAAATCAAGCCCAAGTTAAGGCAAAAAATGAAATGTATTTTAAAAAGTAAAACCATTATTTTAACTGTAGACCTAACTTAAAATTTTAGAATCCGCCCCAAATTCTCCAAGAATTGGAAGTTCATTGAGCCCAAAGAAAAATACTGAAACAATTAACCTGCAAGAAATGACTAGACGTCTGTCTACCAGTTTGCCTGACTTGGATTCAGAACCTTGGATAGAAATGAAAAAGAGACATTGTCCATCTGCAGTGAAATTGAAGGTAAGTTGTTACAGACCAAGTGAAATGTGATATATCCTAGGAGGAGTGTAAGATTAGTGCATTTTCTGTTTGTCGGGTACATATGTAAAATTTGTAAAAATTTAAAGAATCATAAAAATTGGAATTGTTGGCCTTCAGTAGAAACTTTATGGGTTACTCTGTGGAAAATAAGTTACGTTGTGTCAATTTTTATTAAAGTTTAACTTATTTTTGAACATGATTTAAGAATATTTTGACCTGGCCTTTCTACTTGTGACTAATTCAAACTTGAATAATATCTCAGTGCTTTAGGGTTTTTTTAAGACTAGTCAAATGCAGTAGTGAGAAGGGGGGAAAGAGTACAAAAAGTTTGATCTGTAACTGACTGCGAACAATCAATTGAGATGACTCACTACCTTTGTACCAGCCTCAGTTTTTATAAAGTTAAAAAAAAATCTACATTTCAAAGTTAATTTATAAGGATTTTAGGTCACATATCAGGTTTATATATGTTTTTGTGATTTAATGTACAGAAGGAAAAGAAAAGGGAATCGATTCCTTGTAGGCACACGAGGGAGTAAGATGGGTATTGTTATCATAAAAGGGCAACAGGAGAGATCCTTGTGGTAGAACTGCTCTGTATTTTTGACTGGTGGTAGATGCATGGACTTACATATGTGATAGAATTGCATTGATCTAAATCACAAATGAGTACAAGTAAAAGTAGGCAAATCTAAGTAAGATTGATGGATTTATATCAGTATCTTGTGATATTGTACCATAGTTTTGCAAGATGTTAACATTGGGGGAAACTGGGTAAAGGATACGTGAAATCTCTTATTTCTTACAACTCTTATGTGAATGTACAGTTATCTCAAAAAGTTTACTGAAAATAAACTTGGAAACAGTGCCACTCAAATGGTTCCAGTATTGCAAGTAAGCTCTATAAGGAAAAGGTAACTAAAAATATTGGTCCTAGATGTGGGAAGAATGAAGAAAGATATAATTTTGAAGACTTTTATAAACAGGACTCTTTATCCCTGAGATCAAAGCATGAAGATGGGAAGCATGAAGGAATTAAGAGTGATTCACCACTGGGATAGTGGGGGGGTATTGAAATGTTGCCTCCCCAGGGTACATTTGGTGATGTTAGGAGACATTTTTCATTGTTAAAACTGGGAGAGTGCTACTGTATTTAGTGGGTAGAGGCCAAGAATGCTGGTAAGCATCTTATAGTGCACAGGACAGCTCCCCCTCTCCATCCCACCCCCCAACACAACAAAGAATTATTAGGTCCAAATGTCAGTAGTACTGAGTTTGAGAAAACTTGATCTAAGATAACGTCTTAATTAGCAATGGCAGTTAAACATAGCATACTTAAACGTTACCACAAGAGGTCCCCCCCCCCCCCTCACTATGTATTTTAAAAGCCTAAAACACCTTTTTCAAAAAAAAAAGAATTTTCTTTTTTTTCTTTTTTTTTTTTTTATGGTTATAGCTAACATTTATTGAAGGCTTAATATGTGTTAAGTATTGTGTAGCAGTTTACAAATATCGACTAATATAGTATGTACAAAAGCCCTTTAGGTAAGTTATTTTAATACCGAATTGCAAATGAGAAAACTGAAGTGTAGATAATTAAGTTACTCACAACATTCCACACCTAATTACTGGGCAAGTCTATGTTTTGACCTGATTCTGTCCAATCAGGAGCAAAGGTCTCCTCTTCACCCCTAATGATGCAGTGATTTTGGGTCTAGTCACTCCCTTCCTTATTAGTATTTTGCCGAATTCTGATTTTGGACCACATTTTGGATCCTGGTAGAAATTGTGTGCTGATTTGGTCTAGGGGACTTGATATCTGGTGTCTGATCCAAGTTTATCATCCTTACATGTTCTAGAAGGAAGAGAGAATGTCTTCCATACTAATTCTCTGTTAATCCAGTAGATTTGCTGGGCCGGCCCGGTGGCGCACTGGATAGTGCGCCGCTTGGGAAGCGCGGCGGCGCTCCCGCCCGAGGGTTCGGATCCCACATACAGACCGGTTCCCGCTCACTGGCTGAGTGAGGTGCAGGCGCAGCACCGAGGTTTGCCGGTCCCCGGTCCGGTACGGGGGCAACACTGAGGGTTGCGATCCGTTGCCGGACATGGAAAAAGATAAAAGACAAAAAAAAAAAAAATCCAGTAGATTTGCTGCATGAGGTTGTAAATAATGTTTATTTTTACTTTAGAGAATGGATTTCTATCATTTAAAACAAATAATCTTAATTCCTTTTTTAAAGAAAAAAATACAAGAATTTTCTAAAGGTTCTAAATAATTGCTATGATTTGTCATGGTACACCTGGATAACTAGGGAGGACCATGTCCTGGACTCAGTTACAAAAATTTGTACCATATTTCATTCATTCTGAGATTTACATTTTCTTCCACATTTAAAATCTCCATCTTTCAACATTTCCTTTTTGGTGATTTATAAAGTAATGGTTCATTTTAAAATTGATAGCATCTTCTATTTGAGGAAATAAACCCTTTGTATACAAGAATTGTACTATAGTGGACCAGCAACTTGGTGGTGGAATCTTGTTTTAAAAGTGTAACAAGAACTGTATAAAGTCTAGGACCTTTCAGTTTTATAGCCAAAGAATGCCAGTAACTTTAGTAAGATTTGAAATGTACGGTATTCTGATGCTACAGCATGAAGATCTGGCCTGGAGGAAACATGGCTAATAGGTTCTGGGGGCCTGGATATTTTAGAGATATCTGTTGTGTAGGTTAGTTATTGACAACATTGTCAATATACATTTTAAAAAATGATGTTTTTGAAACATACTAGAGTGGGTATAGAAACCTTTGGTGGGTATCATTTTTTCTGTAGAATTCTGAAAGCATTTTTCTGTTGTTGTCTTGGTTTTAGTGTTCCTCATATGATATTTAGTCCCTTTAGATTCTTTCTATCAAATGACTTTTTTTTTTTAGCAGAGAACAGGCATGTTGGCTCTGGATCTCCACAATTGCTAAAATAAGGAGTACTTTTCTCTGAGAGGTATAATTTCTTGGTGCATTTCGTTCATCGGTGAAATTATATTTTCTTTTTTCTCCCCAGCTCTGTTTTAGAGGTTCAGAATAATACCAGGATGCATTCAGCCCTCTCCAGCCCCGATATCTAAAACATGAGCCCTTCCTTGGCAAAACTTTTGTTTAGAAAGCAATTTGTGGGCTTTTAGTTGGGAGCAGACTTTATAGTTTCATATTCTCAGATAAAGAGATTGAATTGACCATTCTAGATATGTTCTATAGTTGGTTTTCCAAATACCTATTTTGATTGATGTCCCATGGTCCATTCCTGCTCTTGGTGACTGCATCTCAAAGCTTTCTAGTAACACCAGTGAAACCAATGGCTTCTGCCTCCCGTGCAGCCTTCCTTTGGTTCTAGATTGCTATTTCTTCTAGTCTTGTTTACTATCAGTACAATCCCGTTTACTTTTAGCTTTCCAGAAAGTCACTTTTTTTTTTTGTATTGATATGGACTTATTCTTTTCATTGCTGCTTATAATTACTGCAAAAAAGCATGCATAGGCAAGTCATCTTCAAGCCAGTATCTCTTGTCATTTCCTCACAAATTAAAAAAAAAATTTGAAAGAGAAATTTAAATATAAAGTAAAAAGTGAAAGGTTTTATCCAGGGTTTGCCATTATTAACAGTTTGTTCATTCTCTTATGCTTTTGTCTTGTACCTGAAAATGTGAAAAACAAGGTACATAGTTTATAAAAGATACATTCAGCATTTAAAAATATATATATCCACAGTGTTTTATAGCTTGTCTTTTTTTTTAGTTAAAACATCATGGGCAGCCTTTCATTTACTAGAATGTTAGGGCCCAGTACTTGTCAATTTTATTGTTGTATACCCCTGCCAATAACATTGCCTGGTTCACATGAAGCACCCAAATAATTATCAACAGACTAAATGTATATGTATCTACATGAACAAGAATTTTGAGAGGGAAGAATTGTTGTTTTGTTTTCTTTTGTTTGTTTTTAGTGTTGTAAATCTTTAAAATTTTATTTTTTAATTGACACACTGATTGATATATTGATTGTTCATATTTATGGGGCACAGAGTCATATTTCAATACCTGTGTACAATGTATGGTGATCAAATTAGGGTAATAAGCATATCTGTCATAAAAATTATCATTTCTTTGTGATGAGAGCATTTTAAGTTCCTCTTTTATAGTCACTTGAGAACATACAATAAATTATTGTTAATTATAGATTCCTAGCACTACTGTACACCACTAGAACTCATTTTTCCTATGTAGCTGCAGTTTTGTATTTACTAACCAACCTCTCCTTGTTCCCAACACCTCACTTTTCCAGCCTCTAATAACCACAATTCTATTCTCTACTTGTAAAAGCTCAACTTCTTTTTTATCTGCCACTTAAGAGTGGGAATGTGCAGTATTATGTTTCTGTGCCTGACATTTCACTTAACTTAACATCTTCCAGGCTCATCCATGTTGCCACAAATGACAGAATTTCATTCTTTTTCATGGCTGAGTAGTATTCCCTTATGTATACCACTTTTTTTTTTTTTTTTGTCCTTTCATCTGTTGACAGACAGCTAGATTGATTCCATATCTTGGTTATTGTGAATAGTGTTGCAATAAACATGGGTGTGCAGACATCTCCTCCATATGCTAATTTCCTTTCCTTTGGATAAATACCCAGAAGTGGGATTGCTGGATCATATAGTGGTTCTATTTGCAGTTTTTTGAGAAACTTCCATACTATTTTCCATAATGGCTGTACTAATTTACATTCCCACCAACAGTGTACTGGTGTACTTCAGAAAGTTCATGAAAAAATAGAATTGAAAAATAATGCAAATCTTTCCATGAATTTTTGAAGTACCTTTGTATAAGAGTTCCCTTTGCTGTGCTCTGCGGTGGAGTGGGTGACTATGGGTGGGTGTTTTGGGGCCTCAAGCAGGATGCTGTTCCCCCAAAAGAGACTTTAGGGTGCTCTGCAGCTCCTCAGCTGGAGTGGACAACTCAACGGGGTTGCTGAGACTGTTGGCAGGACCCTGCACTGTGCCCCCAAGAGAGATGCTGGAGCGGTTTGCAGCTCATCAGTTGGAGTGGGCAATTCAGGGTGGGGCTTCTGGGGCTTCTGACAGTACTCTGCACCTCTAAGAGAGATGTTGGGGCATCCTACAGCTCCTCAGCTGCGTAGGTGACTCTGGGCTTGCTGGAGCTGCAGGCAATATTCTGTACTCCCTAGAGAGGAGCACAAGTGCTCCACAGAATAGTGCAGGGTGGCCGGCCTGAAGGCCCCAGTTGGTTGGCTCTCAGCCTCTGGAAAGTGTGATGATTGGCTCCTCTTATCTTAAGGGTGGCCTCCCACTGTGCTGGACTGCCTGTTGCCGGAGGTGCAGGGCACTGCGTGGGTACCAGTGTTAGAGCCATAGTGTGATGGGATGTCAGAGGAGCCTTAGGTATGTGGATATACTGGGCTGTTGGGCCTGGAATAGAATGCATTCTGATGTTGGTTCTGATTCCAAAATTTATGTGCTGAGGCAACCTGGGTTCCAGGGTATGGGAGACTCAGTGTGAACATCCTCTCTGGAATAATGCAGTTAGTTGCATGGACTCCCAGAAGCTCCCTCTACTGGGATCATGGCTTGTAAGGCAAGCACTTTGCCTGCTAAACTAGTCATTGAGCATACAAGCTTGTTATTACTTGCAACACTGTTATATGACAGTTATTTTAAAAGTGCTAGAAGAGTTTTTATATAAAATACCAATTTCTTCCTTAAGGAATCAATGTCTGTATCTGAAGAAGCCTCAAATCAACTGTGTCCTCCAGAAGAACAAGAAGAACTTGATTTTTTATTTGATGAAGAGTTGGAACAAATAGAACGACGAAAAAACACATTTACTGATTGGTCTGATAATGATTCAGATTATGAAATTGATGACCAGGATTTAAATAAGATTTTGATTGTAACTCAAACACCACCACATATGAGAAAACATCCTGGAGGAGATCAAATGGGCAACCACATCTCTCAGGCAAAAATTACATCTGAACTTGCTGAAGTTATCAATGATGGCTTATGTTATTATGAACAGGATCTATGGATGGAAGAAGATGAAAACAAACACACAGCCATAAAGGTAATTGTTTCTGGCCAGTACATTTCTGCTGATACATTGTTTTGATTGTATGTTGCTGCTTATGTTTTCTTAAACTTCACGCTTTATTTTTTTATGAAATTTTGAATATAAATAAATCATATTTAATTCAAAAAATTCCTGGAAATATATCTGATAGTCACAACTTAAGGAATCATTTTATTTTATGATGACAGTGTAATGAATACTGTGATCACAAAAAAATATTAGCACTCACTGACTAAAACTCTTGCTTTTTTTCAGGTGAAAATAATAAGGCCCTTTTCATATGAAGTAATAAAAACTGAAGTTATTGTGGATAGGTTTAATTTATACCCTCATTCGTTACCTGGCTATCACCCCAGTTGTATGAGCCAGTGGCTTTAGAGAGGGCTTACTTCCATCCTTCTTAGTTTAATCTATGGTGCATGCTCTAAGGTAGTAGACATGGTTGTGGACAAAGTATAGATTAAACTGGCCGATTGTCTCTCCTTGTTCAGTGCCAGGGATGCTGTTTGAAACCTTGTTCCAATTTTTTATCTTCTTGCATTTCACCCCATGTTCTGGTCTCTATTCTAGTTACTAGAGTAAAATATAAGAGAAAGCCAGAGTAGTTTACTGGCTATCAGCCTTCCTTTAATATGAATTATAATGGTACAGGTAGGGATGAAAAGGGATCTTTTCCTGCCATTAAAAAAGTTATCACAGGGACTGGCCGATTAGCTCAGTGGTTAGAGTGCAGCCTTGTAACACCAAGATCAAGGGTTCAGATCCCCATACCAGCCAGCCAACGAAAAAAAAAGAGCAAAACCATTGTCAGAAAAGCCCCAAAAGTTAAATATTTGTTTTGGGAATAGAATAATGAAGGAAAGTTATATGACATTATGCACCAAAATAGGAAAGATATCGGTCAGTTGTAGAAAGAAAAGCTGGCCAACTAGTGTTGAATAGAGAAAAGTGCTTGTCCTTGGGGTTCATATCATCAGCAAGAAGTGTGCATTTTGGCTCCTCATTACTTTCTTCGTGGAATTTTCGTTCCTGCTTTCAGCTTCTTACCTTCTCCAGCTACTGCCTTTTTAGGGAGAACCTGCCTTAACTATGATAGCTTGTTAAGTGACATAGAGCCTGAATAGTTCTCTGCCTGTCCTACAGCTGTGTGAAAGTATGTTTTTACAAAGTTTCTCAGTTGAAAGTCTTTCCTTACACTGTAATTTTATTTGTCATACTTAGGTTATATAAGTAACATCTATATTAAATCCTTTTTGGAACAGAGATATAAATAAATTCTATTAATAATAGGTTAAAATCTTACTCCCCCCATTCTGTGTCCCTCCACTCAGCTTTGTTTTTCACCATAGCATATATCATTATTTACCATTCTGTGTATTTTACTTACTTTTCTTCTGTTTGAGCACATGGATCCATGTGGATAGGAGTTTTTTGTCTATTTTGTTTACTGTTGTATCTTCAGTTCTAGGACAGTTCCTGGCACAAAGTGCCAAATTCATATTTATTAAAATGGATTAATGGATTACAGATTAAACATTATGCACTAACCAAAGGAACCTAACCACTGTGTATAACGTTGGTTTTGTGGGAAAATGTTTTCAGAGTTTCAAATAACAAACCTTCAAGTCAGCTTGAGAAACGTGCCATTTGTAGGTGATTGTTTACTTTAAATCAAGTATAGACAACAATAATTAAAAGCCATGTATTGAGTTATTAAGGAAGGTGCTGGCCTTATCCATTAAATATTAATCAGAAGAAAGTAATCTTGGCTGTATAGCTTTAAGCATTATAAGCATATTCACAGATATGTTTTATTTTGTTCTGATTCTTATGTTTATTTCCATCATTTAAGTCCTTCTTGGTTCTGATCCTATGCTCAACATGTAATTTCCGATTAGACTTGTACTTTTCCTGTGCATGTGCTTAATGGGAGGGAAATGAGTCATTTAACATCTGCTTATTGAACGCCTACTATATGCCAGATACTGTGCAAATAGGGTCTCTACATGCCTGGAACCTACAGATAATTGGGGGAGCAGACATTAAAATAAACCTACAATAAGTACTTACAAATTATAATAAATTCTGTGAAAGGAAAGAAATGGAATGCTTTTGGATTGGGTGGTCAGGGAAGGCCTCTGAGAAAGTCATAATTATAATGAAATCTGAAGTGTGAGTAGGGATTAACCATGCAAAAAGAGTTGGGAAATAGTATTCCAGGAAGAGGGAACAGTAAGTGTCAAGGATCTGAGGTGGGAAAGAATTTGGCATATCTGAGGAACTGTAAAAAGTGGTCAGTTTGTCTATATAAGAGGATATTTATGGATGTATAGGCAAAAGTTTACTCATACAAGGAGTTGCAGGCCTTGTGAAAAATTGAAGCCCTACTTTCTAGAGTATTTTGTTATTTATCTGTTACTCAGTTTGTGTATTTGTTGTTGGAACAAATAAATGTGCATATCCTTAAATAAATAAACTTTTGGCTAGGTAAAAAAAAATAAAAATAAAAACTTTGCTTTCTTAAAGAATTTGTAAACCATGTTTAATAGCTTGGAATTTATCTAAAGTTCGAATGCAATTGGGTTTTACACAGGCAGTGTGACATGATCTAATTTTTATTTTTAAAAGATCATTTTGTTGTTATGACAGAATGATTGTATGAGGACAAGACTGGGCAGAAGAAATCCAAATAAGAGGCTATTAAGAGGCTATCCATCTAGGAGGTGGATGTTGGTAGCTTAAGGTAAACTGGTGGCAGAGGAAATGTAGAAGTGAGAAGATCCAGATCTGAGCCCCAAAAAATGCTCATATAGGAGTTCTATAGGAAAGTGTGGTGTTGTGGAAGCCAAAAACTGGCTCCAAGAGGAGAGAATAACAGTTGTGTCAGAAACTGGATAGGTTGAATTTGATAGGAATAAAAGTATGCCAAACTGATAGGGCAGTTTGGTGATCATTTTTGACCTTTGTGGATCCAGAAGCTATACTGAACTGGACCAAAGAGTGATATAGGCTTTTTCTTTCTGGCATCTTTACTGGTGAAGACAACTAAAATGACCAGCTGATGGATGAAAAAACATCTACTTAAAATCCTTAAAGATCTGCAAGGTAAGTTATTATCAGGGTAAAACTATATAGAAGTGAATTCCTGAAACCAGTTTTGTCCTGCAGGCCATTGTGGAACTTGGGGAGTTTGAGGAGTTCAGCTTTGCAGAAGCTACCCAAAACGGGTAGAAAAACAAGAACCCAGGTACCAGCCTAAATTGGGGATTCCGATAGGAGTCCTTTTCCCATTAAATTGGTACCCAAAAGGAATATATTCTCACTAAAAGAGAACTTGCTTTTCCACCTACTCCCCTAGTGAACTACAAAGAATATTTCCCTGGTTGTGCTGAGCAAAATAGGGAGGGAAAATTGGATATGAAGTTATAATCATGCAACCCAGTGTCACACTACCTGGGTAACTGAAATAACCACTAGTTGTAATATTAAAGTGATCGTGGCCTGTTAGTTTTCCAGACACCTAGCATAAGCAAATGTAGATCCTTTGTGAAGACATTCACCTTTATCCTCGACCTCAAAGTATTTACTCAGATTGTTCTATAAGGAAAGTGAGAAGCTCACAAAGTTAATCAGACAAGGAATGGGGTACCACATGTGAGAAAGAGCAAAAGTAAGACAGCTGAACCATACCTTAAAATAATTTAGATAGTGGAATTGTTAAGCAGAATGTGGAGTAACTATGTTTACTAAGTTTAAGGAAATAAAAAATATATGCACAGAAGAAGAAATTCTAAAGATTAACCATAGTACTTCTGGAAGTAAAAACAGTTATGACTGAAATTAAGAACTCGATCAGGTGAAAGGATTAGTGGTGGTTTAGACACAGCTACAGAATTAGTGGATTGGAGGACTTCACAAGAAATTATTCAGAAGTTAGCACAGAGGGGCAAAGAGTCAAAACACTCTTTAAAAAGAACAAAGTTGAAGGACTTATACTTTCTGATTTTAAAACTTACTGCGAAGCTTCAGTAATATAGACAGTGGTACTGACATAAGGATAGACATGTAGAGCAATGGAATAAAATTGAGAGTTCAGAAATAAACCCACATATCTATTCTCAACAGATTGTCGACAAAGGTTCCTAGACCATTCAATAGGAAAATAATATTTCAGCAATTGGCGCTAGGTCAACTCGATACCCACGTGCAAAAGAAGGAAGTTGTGCCCCTCCGTACCTCACATCATATAAAAAAATTAAAATGAATTTAATTCCTAAATGTAAGAGCAAAAACTATGAAACTTATAAGAAAATAGAGTAAAATCTTCATGACCTTGGATTTGATAGTGTTTTTTTATATGACACTAATAGCACAAGGAACAGAAGAAAAATAAATTGGACATTAAAATTGTAAAATTTTGTATTTTAAAGGACACCACACAGAAAGTGAAAAGACAGTAGAGTTGCTCCTTGACTACAATAGGGTTACATCTTGATCAACACATAAGTTAAAAATATTGTAAGTAGAAAATGCATTTCAAACACCTAACCTACTGAAACATCATAGCCCAGAACACTTACATTATCCTACAGCTGGGCAAAGTCATCTAACACAAAGCCTATTTTATAATAAAGTGTTGAATATCTCATGTAATTTTTTGAATACTATACTGAAAGTGAAAAACAGAATGTCTATCGTGGCCCTCCATCTCAAGAGTATGGTGTCTGGAGAAAGATCAAAATTCACAATTTGAAACAGTTTATATTGAATGCATATAGCTTTTGCACCTCATAAAGTTGAAAAATTAAGTTAAATCATTGTAAGTTGGGGACTGTCTGCATAAAACAATACAATTTATATTAGCACCCCCCCAAAAATACTTGGTTATAAACCTACCAAAGTATGTACAAGATCTATATGAAGAATACTGCAAACCACTGATGATATAAATCAAGGAAGAACTAGATAAATGGCAAAATATTCCATGTTCATAG